TGTTATTAAAAAATAAATTATTTTTATTTTTAAACTCCTGCCTCGCTTGCCTCTCTGCAATTGGGTTCCAACACTGAGGATTGTGACACCCGGGCACATAGGTAGCTGCCCAATACACATCGCTCTTGAGGGGTGGGTCCTCAATTCAATTCAGTTTATTTATATAGTGCCAAGTCATAACAGAAGTCATCTCAGGGCACTGTACAGAAACATTCATATATATATTAAAAACAAGTTAACTAAAGATGCACAGACAGAGTGAAGGAGGGGGGCACATTGTCCAGTTTTAAGACTGGGCTTAAGTCTTTCCTTTTTGATAAATCCTATAGTTAGGGTTGGTTTGTCATGCTTCCTTAAGCTTAGACTACTACAAGACAAATTGACCTCATTTCCTTAAATGAACTGTTAAAATCGAATAGTTTTCATTTTATATTATTTCTATCTTAACACGTGATTCTTGACCTGCCATTGTGTATCTGTTCCTACCAGACCCAGCCGGTCGAAGCAAATGGCCTCTTGTCCTGAGCCTGGTTCTGCTAAAAGTTTCTTCCTTATGAGAGAGTTTTTTTCTTTCCACTGTCTCCTTCATGCTTGCTCAAGATGAGAGTTCTGTGATGGAGTTAAACTAAAAGTAGTCTGCTCCTCAGATAAATAATGTTAAAGTATTATTTCTTATGAATGCTTTTGTTAAATTATAATTTATATATATGAATGTTTCTGTTCAGTGCCCTGAGATGACTTCTGCTGTGACTTGGCTCTATATAAATAAACTGCATTGAATTGAACTGAATCGAATTGAAAATAAAAATAAAGTCTGTAAAACGCCATCTGGTGGTAGAATCTTGATCTGCAACAAGAGCTGCACATCTCTCTCAGCAGCTGTGCTCATGTCACAACATGAACACCCGTGGCTAATACACAGGCACGGCTTATATATGTACAAAAATTTATTTATTTATTTAAATTTAGTGCGCGCAGCTTATATTTGGGTGCGCTCTATAGACCAGCAATTACGGTAGGTCATAACTTGTAAGATAATACTGTAATACTGGGAGCTTCACAGGATAGTAACAGACAGTAACAGATAGTGGATTCTGTCATTTCACACTGGCAGACGTTTAGCCGCACACCTTTCATGGTTTGTTTCGAAGGTATAAATGATAAAGCTTACCTCTGTTTCAACTCTGAAATTCCATTTGAGCATCGCATTGATTTCTTCACACTCCACAGATAGATCTTTGTCACTAGAGATGACGACATCATCAACTTGTTCAGATAACTATTTAAAATGGTGACATAGTGTGTTAGGACGAAAAGCAGTCAGAGAGAAATCTCTTCTCAGTAAGATACGTTTAATTAAATAAAAAACCCACAATGTAGACTTCATTACTGCAGTTCCTGTATTCCTCTAGAAGTCTTTGGTTATAGCACATGAGACCCTGGTTTTCAATGCTGTGTCTGATCTCCTCCTCTTCTTTAACTCGCATCATCCACTCCTGCAGCTCCTCCTCAGAATGAGCTTTAAGGCAGTTCATACCATATTCACATGTTTGTGGTCTAGGACGAAATATACAGAAATGACAATCAAATGCTAACAGAATGAATATCCTGTAAAGTTTTATTATTATTATTATTAGCCTCTGGGTAACCCTGTGAAAATATAAAACATGCACTGTTGCATGGTGGAGCAGTAGTTAGAGCTACTGTCTCACAGCATGAAGGCCCTGGGTTTGAGTCTCAGCTGGGTCTTTCTGTGCTTGGATAATTTAAACCAACTTAGGTATGAATATGTTTGTATCTCTGTGTTGGCTCTGTGATGGACTGTGATAATGTAAGGCATTCTTGCTAAAAGACATAATAAAAACCTACGTCTGAAGCTGTAAATGGGTGAGAAGAAGTGGATCTGTTTACCTGTCACAGAGCCAGAACTCCGCCCTGCGGGTATGGGGAGGCTGCCGTAGTTTCCACCTGGTGGTGGTGTCCTGGGAGAGAAGCTGGGTGTGCTCTAATGAGGAGCAGTGTTTGTAGAAACTCTCAGGGGAGGACAACACCAAGAGGCACACTTTACAAAATACGGTGACCCGTTTGGACTGCGTCTGCCTCTGCTGGCTCAGCTGAAGGAGATGAGGCCGAATGGGGAGCCCACTGTGCTCGGCTGTCCACACCGCCATCTCTACCTCGCTCTGGGCGGACTGGCAGTGACTGGCTTTGTGCCAGCAGGGCTTGCCTTGTCTGACATGACTGCAGTACTTGAAGGAACAGTTTGGGGGAAGAGCGCGGACTTGGCTGTAGATGTGCTTTGTGCTGTTCTCTGAGAAGTGACAAACTAAGATCGGGTCCCAGACGTGTGCTGCGTCTGCAGAGCAGGTATTATTCCACCTTTTGGGTGTTAGCTTGACTGGACTTTCATGAAAGCATTGCTTACAGAACTCAATGAATTCACCTGAAAACTTCTGGAGAAAGCTCTCAGCTGCACTTTCTGGTGTAAGTGACATGGACTCACTTATGAGTCTGATTAACTCAGTTTTATCTATTCCCTTCTCTCTAAGATGGTTCCACACAGTGGCCTCTTCCAAGCTTTTAGCATAAGTGCATCCGTGACCTTGCGTGTGTTGTGTACATGCAAAACCCTCATCAATGTAGTTACAGACTTTATAAAGGACATTTGGACCCATATGTCCACCAGTAGGACGTTCAGAAATGGGCCTCCATTGGTCGGAAGCCTTGCTTTTGGCTAAAAGCAGACTTTTGCCACACTTGTGTATAACTGACTGAACGGTGTAAGTAAGTTCCTTCACCTTGTTGGAGCACAAATCACAAACAGCCTTCAGCTCTAGGACTGCAAGGAGCTCAGCCAGAGGTCCTGCATTGTTGGACGGCTCAGGTTTTCTCTCAGACTGAGTGATAATAGCACACAGATGAAGACGGTCGAATCCATGTTGCTTTTCAAAAGTCCACACAGCAGCTTCTTCTTTGCTTCTTGCAAAGGTGCAGCGATTCTTGTGCACTGTGCAGCCAAAGTTCTCCTTAAAGAACCAGCAAACCTCATACTGAGTTGGGTTTGGAAATGTGGGCCGTTTAGAAACGGGCCTCCATCTGCTGTTGTCTTTAGATCTGCAGAGCAGGACCGTGTGCTTACACTGGTGGTGAACTGACTTCAGTAAGTAAGTAATTTGGTTTTCCTGCACACAGCAGTGATCACATGCGAGCTTGAGATCATGTGTTAATAACAGGGAGGACAGGCTGCTTGCTGCCATTGTGAAATGTTCATAATTCTGAAATCACACATTCAGAGGGATGGACTGTGGTGCGAGCATCAGTGTAGAGTGTCCTGGTTTGTTTGAGTGAGTCTGAAAAACAAAGAGAAGAGAGGTCAGCATGTGATTCATCCATCCATCAATCCATCCATCCATCAATCCATCCATCCATCAATCCATTCATGCACCCATCAATCTATACATTCAGCCATCATCTATCCATCCATCCACCAATCCATCCACCAATGAATCCATCCATCAATCCATTAATCCATCTCTCCATCCATCCATCCACCCACCAGTCCAGTCATCCATCCATCCTTCCATCCATCCACCCACCAGTCCAGTCATCCATCCATACTTCCATCCATTAATTCATCCAACCATCCATCCATGCATCCATCAATCCATCCATCCAGCCATCAATCCATACATTCATCCATCAATCCATCTCTCAATATATCATCCATATATCCATCCACAAATCCATCCATCCATCCATCCATCATCCATCCACCCATCCATCCATCAGTCCAGTCATAATCCATTATTCCATCCATCAATCCAACCATCCATCCATCCATCATCCATCCATCCATCAACCAATCCATCATCAATCCATCCATCCATGATCCATCCACCAATCCATCCATCATCCATCCATCAATCCATCAACCCATCCATCCATCCATCCATCCACCCATCCACCAAACAATCCATCCATCCATCTACCAATCCATCCACCAATCCAGTCATCCGTCCATCAATCCATCCATCCATTCATCCAATAATCATCAATCCATCCATTCATCCATCCATCCATCCAT